AAAAGGTCTTATGGCTGTATATGTAACTATAAACTGATTTGGAATTGTCCAGCAGAGATGAAAAGTGTTGGTAGTGCTTTGCCTACACATTGACTGGGCCATTAGATGTAATAATTGGAAGTACTAAAGTCTGCAGTGACTACAATATTATATTTTATTCCATGTTTACTTGTGGACCTATTGGGAACGTCTCTTTTACTGAAAAAGAAAATTGTTACTAGGGTACAAGTAGGTCTATTAACAACAACAATTAAAAACAGATGAAGCACATACGGATTCTCAGGAAGTAGTAATACTATTGGAAATTATGGTTGTGGTGATGTTACGTGGCCGTTTTTTTGTCTGGCATTCCCAAGATAGGAATGTATGTGTGACTAATGTCATTTAATGCGGAGTGATTGTGACACTTTTAAGAAGTGTCTGGCTTAAAACATGTTAATTGGAAAGACATCTCCATACACACAGTAAATTCACTAGGTCATCAACAGTGTGGTGTATTCACAATGTTTTCTGAAATTGGAGCATCTACAGCACGTATATAGAGTATGTCCGCTGACTGTGCTTGCTTTTTAGCATTAATCTATATGAGTATGTTGAATGTGTCTTGGATTTTTGGACATCTGGCAGTGGAATGGGCTTAAGACATCCAGAAATCCAGACAAATGTAGTCCTTACTTCACTCTGGCAAAGGTGGGATTGGTTTTTTTTGGTGAAAATACAGATTTCTTTGGACAATAGCTCTATTTTTGGCAGTCTCTGATTTTAAAAGCAGAATGTATCTGAAAGCTCTGTTCATATTAGGCTCAGACTAATTCAGACTTATTTTGCTTTTTGTTTTATCTGTAGACAAAAAGTTTACTGAGAAGATGCCAATCCTTGCCTGATTTTTCTGACAGTGAGAGCTCAGAGGTATTATTTTATATTTACTTGTATTTGTTCCTGAATTGTGATTTTGTGGAAGAAATTCTTCCACTGAACAGAATTGGACTTAATATTTTCCTATTAGATGCAAAAGTGAGAGTCTCAAAGGTCTTTTTTCAAGTGGATTGGTTACATTAAATAAGAGAACATAGCCCTGCAGTGAGAACTTCAACGGGCATTTGGATAGAGATAAGTGTGAGTAGTCTGTACTCTAGCTAACCTGAAATGAGTGGAACAACATATCTGAGTAAAGATTTGTGGTATCAGGTCCTTGGATTTCAGACGCATCAGGACATCAATGTTGTCAAATTTCCAACCTGTAAAGTGCTGTGTACTTTTATGGCTATTGAAGTTATATTAGCTGTTTCACAAAATACATAAAGCTGCAATAAACCGTGCAAATTTTACACTTATGCAAAGATGACCTTGATAGCATTATACAAGTAATATTTTATTAACAAATTTGATTTTGAGTAAGAATTTGAGGAGTATGTATTTATTTAAAACTTTATATATAGGCCATAAAGACCTGCTTAAAATATTGTGACCATGTTATTTTAAAGATGGACATGAAGCATGGCAGTAGTTTGTATGCATTGATAAATAAAATAGTTTAAACACTAGATTTGCAATTTGAACTAAGCATTGATGCTTGATTTTTAAAATACTAGTTTCATGTTCAAATAGAAGTAGTCTTGTTGAATTCAGCTAGCAATCCTTTAACAAAGCTATGCATAGTTCATTAAAAGAATTTATCAAGTAAAAATTCAATATATGCAATTCACAGTCAAACTATTTGATTTGGTGATAAATGGCAGCTAATGATAGATACATGTAGTGATAAATGACAGCTTTACATTGAGTTTCAGCTTTTTAATAAATCAGTATGAAACTTAGATTTTTTTAAAAAATAGAATTTTCCTAAAGAAAAGCAGCACACTTGTGACATCGAGATATTTTATCTTTTAAAAACTTCACAAGGTATAATGCATTACCACAAATAAAGAATAAAAGGCATTTAGTTACTTAAACTTTATTATTAAAATAAACTAAAGGCTGATGCAGTGTCTTTCTAATAAATATATAAGTTAAATAATTAGTAACATGTCTGTAACCAAGCATTGAAAAGTGCTTCTTTGAGTCTAATTAATTTTTTTTCAAAATTATTAAATGCTTCATTTATTTTTTTCATTTATTTTATTTATTACTAACAAGTGTTTCCCTCTAAATTTCAGGCTGTGGACATGAAATTGCATTTTAATTTCTTTGACAAAAATGTGTTATGCCTAGTATTATAGTGCAAGTTAGTGAATTGGAATTAACAAAAAGACTGAGAAACAATACACACAATACATAATTAATAAAATAATTAATAACAATTAAACACCAGAGGATAACAGTTATTCTTTTGGTTTGATTTCATCAGGCAATTCAGGGGTGGGGGCACAAAGTATGAGTGCATAATTCCATTCAGGTATTAACTGTGTTTCCATATAATACAATTGTACTTCCAAACATCATACAAAGTCCTCCTGTCTTTTCTTCCGAGTTCATGAATATATCTTAGTTCATCTTTTTGTAAATGTCACCACCAGTGGCATACATTTTTTATTTTAAAATTTAACTTTTCTGCAATGACTGGGGGTATTTAATTCAAATTTCTTGTGATACTTTTTAGAGAAGATTGATTTTAGCCCTTTATGAGCTTCAAATAACTTTGAATTAATGTTTCAGATCCCTTTGCTTTGACATATATCCTGAGATATGCAGATCTTTTTTCCCATTAAATACTATAATTTTTTTCAACAGGGTAGTCCCCATGTCACTACTTTTTTTTTTCTTTATAATTTTATATAAAATAAAATCCAGTCCATTAAAAGTAAGGAAATGTGATATATAAATCTTATTTCAAATGAACACCTAAATAAATTAAGTTTCCTTTTTTAACAGACACATTTGATTAAAAGATCAGTCTCAGCTCTGGAGACAACTGCTTTCAAGGATGAAACTACGTTAAATATGTCAGCTAATTTCAAAACCAGCATGAAAGAGTTGAAGGTTATGAAGCAATGGATAGCTGAGCCAGAGGTTGAGACAGAGACTGGGAAAAGCTCCCCTACCAAGCATGTATTGAGTCAAATCTGTGATGATCCTCAATCAATGCAGACAGATATACCAGCAGAAAAAACGCCTACTTTGACTGGACAAGAGGATAGTGAAAATGACATTGTTCTTGTGGAAGGACCTCAAAAGGCTGGGATTAAATACACTGTTTTCCCAAGAAGAAAGAAAACAAAGAAATCAAAGAAAATAGTAAACCCTAGGAAATTAGAAGCTGTGATTAAGAAATTAAGTCAACCCCCAAAGATTCTTAAAAGGTTTTATTTAATTATTGTGTATTGCCTTTTTAAAGAATTTATTTTAATTGGTAGCTGTATTATCTAATTACAGGTTTTATCTTTTTAAATGTTAAATATTGCTCTGAAATTAAGTAATAATATTTTAGCTATTTAGGAATAATATATATTTTTTAATGCAAAGAAAAATGCATACTGCTCAGGTATCTTCAGGACATTTAGTATATACTGCACTTTAAATGGAAATGGTGTTGCTTCATGCAACAACAGAAAAAGTTTTATCTAAGTATAAATGCATGATTAAAATGGTCAAACTTCTTTCTTAAAGGCAAGGGGGAAATTAAGTTCTTAGGAAATGGAAATGCTAGGCTGGACTAACCTCCTTTGTACCATGAAATTCACAGATTACATCAAACAAGTAGTCTGCTTTTTACCTTGTTTTCATGTATCACTCTAAATATTTTTGTAGTGAGTGGTTATTACTTACATACTTCAGATATGGGGTACCTTAGAAAATATTAAAGTGTTAAAAAAAAAAAAGTAATTAATGTTCTTGCTAGTTTTTTGATGTTTCTTAAATACCTGTGCTTGAAGTGTGACCTGCAAAAAAAACTCCAGATGTTGTCTATTTTTGTGTACAGTCGTATGTGTCCACATTGTACTTACACCGATGCTCAGGGCTGGTCCTTCAGGCCAGTTTTCCATTCAGCTTCTCCTTTTTTCTGCTTTTGGACACTTTTCAATAGTTTTATTCTTAAGAAAATAAAAAATACTTAAATGGTGTCATATACCGCTATAGAGAGCTGTGACCAAGGGAGAAGGTGGCCTTTTTCCGAAGTCTTGTTTTAGACAAGGGTACTGTATGTTCTTTCCTGTCTAAGGCTTTCATATCAGTTTTGCTAAACCAAGGGGATTTCATCTTTGTCCTATTTTGCATGTCAATCATGCATGGACCTGCTACATTTTTTATTTAATTTCCCTTTTTTTCCCTATTAGGATCCTTATGTATAAAATATTACAAATATTAGGTACATAGTATTGTAAATATATATATTCATGTATAAAATATTTTCTCTGTATTCCCTTCTGGTATTCCCTTCTGCATTAGCAAGGCTAGTATTGTTTGTGATAATGATTAAGCGTTTCTCTTAAAGACTTCTGTTTCTTTCACTTCAACATCTCGAAGCAGATGTTGATATTGAATATTTGTGAAGGTTCTCATCTTGAAAGCTATGAATTTTCCTAGATTATAATTTTGGAAATGTCTTTGTAAATTCAGGTGCTTTTTTTCACCTCTGTGTGGTGCTGCTTCTGCTTATATTCTCATGGCTTCTTCCTAATATCACTGGTATCTGCCATTGATATATTCGTCCATGTAGGATTTATCATCATTTAGCCAGGCTGGTAATTGTCCACTCTGAAATATTGTACTTTCTTAGGTTTACCATGATTCTTGTAAACCTAAGTTAGAAGCTTTTGGAGGAAATAAGCATGCAACTGCGAATAAGTGCTGAACGTTCTGGGGACATGAATCATTCAGAACAATTCTGCTTACTTGCAGTTTCAATAATGGTTTCTGATAAATGGCTGATAAGTTAAAAAATTATCATTAACAAGAGAGCTAACAATAGGTTTTTGAATAGTTGTTGACAAGCAGATTGCAATTTGATATCGTTAATATATCTGTGAACCTTTAGTTAATTTTAATATATTTTTCCTTAGGTCTGTGTCTCTGGGAAGACTTCCTGTTCATGATAAAATCAGTATCAAGGTGTCTCCAGCAATCAAACAATATCAGAGCCCCAGCATCCCTTGTTTGTTAGATTTTGAAAAGTTTGCAAAAGCGAGGGGTGGAATTCCAAAAGAAACTTCTGCTCGCATGTGGGTCAGTGGAATATGGAACTGCTGGTTTGATGAAAATTTCCCTCCTAGTGGGACTGCTTCTGAGGAGAAGGATACTGAATTGCTAAAAGGAACTGAGACGGTGGACTCTCAGGAAGCAAATCCACAAATAGAACTAGTTGACTCAATGCAGCCTGTCCTTCTTGAAGGTGCAACAGTTAGTATTGAAGATTTAGAAAAAGAAGTAAGAAGACTAACTGAACTAATAGAAAAGGAAGAACATCCTTCAGCTTTTCACTACTGCAGGCGCGGAGCAATACAGAGAAAGTTAGGCAAGTTAAAGTCAGCTATGGATGACTTGGAAAAAGTAAGTGTGCTAAGTTTTACTTCTATCAAGCACCTTTTTTCTGAGTGTCTTGAGTTCTTCAGCAGGTGAAGAACTAGAAGCAGGAGAGCTGATTAACTAGGTGAACACTGCCACCTTTTACCTTCATATGACAGCATGATCCAAGTTTAGTCCCATAAGAATGAAGATGCAGGCTCTTAATAAACTGTGTTTATTTACCCTGGTGTTCTCCAAGCACCATAATGTTTCTTTGGAGACCCTTGCTCAGGATACAACATTCCTAAATGGAGTTGGAGATGGGATAGACAAAAAGGACGAAGTCTTCTGCTTCAAGTTTTGCTGCTGGCAAAGCTGACAGATATATTTTCAATTTCTGCAAAAACATAGTAAGCAAATAAATTGAAAAGTCATGTATTTCCTATTTATAATTAAACTGTCATTTGACACTAAGATTTTATACAATAATACTAGTGTTTTTCTATGTATGTTTATTTTTTCAATGCTTTTAAGTTCCCTTTATAGTGCTATAAACCTGCCATTACTTCTGCCCAAGACGCTGCACAACTTGAAAGAAACAACCAAAACAGAATAAAAAAATTGCTGAATAAACAGAAATTAAAAGAATATTTTTAAAGTCTGTAATTTAAAAGTGGAAGCTGTAAAAGCTTTCAAACACATTCTTTAAGCAATGATATAGTTCTGTATGTGTGTGAAACCTGGGTAGTCATGTGTTGTACTTTTGGTATGGTATTTTCATTGTCATTTAACACCTCTATTACACACAGCTAGTCATAATCAGGTTGGGGCTCCAAAGTGCTTCATCCTATATATAATGTTGTACAGCAAAAGATGTCCTTCTTTCCTTAACCAGCATCTTGGCTCTTAACGCTGTATTTTGTGTTTGGAGAAGCAATCCTGAGCAGCTGCTTTAGGGTTCATGATCCTTGTACTGGTGTCCTTGATAATGCAAGATTGAACCAGATCTTTTGTGTTAATACTGCTCTGTGGGAGTAGGACATCATCAATCTGCCAGTGTCCCTGAAAACAATCTTAACAACAGGCACCTTTAAATAATGGAAATAGCTTTTCTTTTTCTAAAATGCAAAGCTCAGTCAGTTGGAATATTTGGAAATGTGCAGAGAAATGAAGCAATGAAGTACAAAACAGCTTGGCTTCATGTTGGCAACTTGGCTTCATGTTGGTTTCTGCATTCCTTTCAGCTAAAAGTCTCAAGCCACAATAAATTTTAAGGCGGCTGTAGTGTGTTCTCCAGTGAGATGCACCCTTCAGATTTTACTCTGTTTCTAGAGTTTGCCTTTCCCAAAATGCATATTGTCTTAGGGTGAAATTTCCTTTTATAACACATTTCTGTTAATGCTTCTCTTGGGGATAAGTCTGTTGTTTTTTTTTTTTTTAATTTTATTTTTATTTTTAATGGGACATAAGTATCTATTTCTTCAACCGGGTCTAGTGGAAGGTGTCCCTGCCCATGGCAGGGGGGTTGGAACTGGATGATCTTTAAGGTCCCTTCCAACCCAAACCATTCTATGATTCTCTTTATGCACCTGCAATCTGTACACGTTACCTTCCAAACTTCATAAATTAATGATGAGAAAATTGACTATATTCATAGAAACTCAATGATTATCTTGTGTTTTTTATTCACCCCAAACTTTAGAAACGGACTGTCAAGGATCTAAAAGGCTAAAAATTCCACACCTGGGAAAAGTGGTTCATTGGCCAATGGGCCAATGTCAGCTGTCAAAATTGCTTGCCATTGCTATTGCATATTTTAGTGAAAACATTACTGACTTTTCTCTTTAAGATATATGAACACAATTCCTATGTAGTTTATGGGTCCTAGAAATAGTTTATAGACCAAAATTTGAGAACTGCTGTTGTAGCAGAACAGTGTCAGATTTGTATCAGTCTCTCTCTATACATGGCTGTTAAATGTGTGTTATATGCATAATGAACATATGTGAAATACCTTATTTGATTGATAATATCTGTCAAGTGATTTTTGCTAGGGAATGTTAAGTGCTTTCTGTAGGAATCATAACAGCATGGTTTGAAAAGCTGATTCCTTTTTTACAGGGACAGATTAATTATTTCTTACTTTCAAATAGGAGAATTCTGACTTCTAGAAATAGTTCAGATAATTATTTTAAAGAAATCACCAAACATGGTAATATCCCAGCTGATTAATATTTTGTGCTGAATATTCTGGTAGCTTGGACTCTGATTCTGCATATGTGTAAGTACATGATGCTTTTAAATAAACAAGTGACTTTAGTCAAATTTTTCAGATTTTTAGGTTAAATAAAAGTTTTTCAGTCCAGGAATTTTCTTCAAAAAAAAAAAATTCAGTGCAAAAATTTTCTCATTTCATATGTACTATTGTTAGCACATTTGAGAAGTTCCTTCTGCAATATAAATGAGTTATTTACTTATTTTATTTATAGGCTATAAGCTTAGAACCACTACTTCTTAATGCTTACTGGCACAGACATTTGATTTACCTCTTTCAAGACAGAATTTCTGCTGCTTTGGATGACCTGAATTTTATAACTAAATGGAGCAAAAATAAAGCAGGTAAGTATCTACTGAAGTGTAACTTAACAGTTATTTTTTTCGTAGTGTTTTTTCTCTAGTTGCCTTTGGCCCTAGTTCTGCAAATGTTTTTGTATGTTTTTAACCTTACATCAATTGTTTTAACCATATTATAAAAAGATTATGACATCAGTCTTCAAACGCTTGGGACAGAAGTTGGGTTTCTAAGGCAAAAATAAGTACTTAATTTTAGCATGTTTTTAAAAAGTGCAAAAAAAAAGGAAAAAGGAGGACTGATGGAAATTGTATCCATTAATTTAATGGGGAAAACTGATAACAATCCTGTAATGGAAGGCAGTGTGCTATTGTGCTTCAGTCAGCCCTGTTCTGCCACTGTTCTGCCATACCCTTTAAACTGGGGAGGAGGAGCTTAAAAGGGAAAGATACCACCTGGTTGACAGATCAGGTCCTGCAGGGCAGGGAAAGTGATTCCCCTCTGCCAGGTTGTGATGCTGCACCTCCAATACTTTGTCCAGTTTTGGAACCCTTGGTATGAGGCAGACAAGCTGGAGAGAGTCCATTGGAATGGATGGTCAGGGGTCTGGAGCCTAAGTTGTATAAAGAAAGGCTGAGGGAGATGAGTTACTTTGCCTGGAGAAGGTAAGGCTAAGAGGGAAATCTGTTCTCAGCTACATAATGGGTGGTAACAGAGAAGACAGTCAGACTCTTCTGAGAGGTGCACAGCAAAACAGGAGGCAATGGTCACAGGTTGCAACAAAAGAAATTTTAATTGGACATGGACTTGAAAGACACCCCCCTTCCCCCTTCTTCCTCTACCCCTCTTTTTTTTGTTGCTGGGCATGACATTATATGGTATGGAATATCCCTTTGGCCTACTTAAGTCAGCTGTCCCAGCTGTGTCCCCTCCCAACTTCTTGCCCACCCCCAGCTTACTTGCTGGGGAGAGGGCAGAGTGGGGAAAAAAAAAATAGCGCCTTGATGCCGTGCAAGAATTGTTCAGCAAGAGCTAAAACATTGTTGTGTAATCAACGCTTTTAGTCACAAACGCAAAACATGGCACCACAGAGGCGGTTATAAAGAAAGTTAACTCTATCCTGACCAAACCCAATACGGTGGGATAAATATTGTGTGGGCCCATTTAAACTAAATCTCTTTGTGATCAAATTGCATATTTGTTTGTGATCAACAGGTCTACGCTAAATGGCTTGATGGGCCATTTCTACAGAGCTCTACAGAGAGCAAAGATTTTTAATACCTGTGAATGCGGCAAGAGCTATCAGTTTACAGTGGCATGGGCTCCACAACTGAGCACACAGTTATAGCTCTAAACTTTTGGCTTCTGTTGCTCAGATTAAAACAGAACTTCACCTTTTGCATAATCTACTATTCTATTTCTGCTGCTTATGTTAATTACCCTGTAAGGAGGAGATGATTTATTGTTTTGGGCTGCTAAATAGTGCCTTTTATATTTTGCGTGATTGTTTCAGATACGTACCTGTCAATGGCTGAAATTTACAGGAAACAAGGTGATAACACATTGGCAATCATCAATTATAGCTCTGCAATACAATGCAGCCCTACGGATGATGACATTTATTGTAGGAGAGCTGAGTTGTATTTTGAGGAAAATCAGTTGTTACTGGCCATGGATGATTACGCCAAAGTAAGTTCACTTTTTTGTATTGTTACAATAGTGTAGTAACTTTGTCTAACTTTAGTAAAAGTAAACTGTATTTGGATATATCTGGTAAGTAGCTTGGAGAACAGATATCCTTTCAAATAAATGATGTTTAAAACCAACCATAAATAAGTAATTTCTGTTATTCCTGCCAGCTAATTTGATAAATTACTGAATGTCTACAAATTATCAGCCACTAATAGGCTTTCATCACTACTTTTTTATTTCACTGTATAGTTAATGGAAATGGCAATACGCAATAAAGTCCAAAGGAATAAAAAAGAAAATCTGAGAATAAAAGAATATATAATTTTTATGCTTGGTTAAGACTTTTAATCATTAGAAATAATAAGAATGAGGAATAACATAATGTACTACTTTATTTTTTTCATTATAGTGTTTTCAGTATAACCCAAAAAGAACAGATGCACTTATGAAACATGGAATACATTTCTTTGACCATTCAGTTTTGACTATAGCTATTCAGGATTTTACAGCTGTGATCAAAGAAGACCCCAGCAATGCTCAGGCAAGGTAGAATTTATAGTTTGACAAAAGCATTTGAATTTTAAGTGGATTATTAAAATAATATTAATATGTAAAAGACTGAATATGCATTAAACAATAAGAAAGCAATTGCATTTCCAAAGAGGTGTCTAATAGAAATAGAATAAGAGTTCTAGGCCATGATATTTGTTGGGGAATCTTTGTATTGCTTTAATGACTTTGGATTAGTCCCTAGACCTTAATTTAGCTAAGCATAGAACCATGTGCTCAGATCCCACTGGAGTAATGAAAATATAGAGTCAGTTGGACTTAAGCACGTGCATATGTGCTTTGCTCTAAAGAGCTGGATTTAAATACATGCTCAAAGTGAAGAATGTCCTTAAGGATTACATGGTTTTATGCCTAATTTCCATTGGTTGCCTTGATACTTCTAGTTTTAGCATTACGTTGAATTAATATTTTCTGTGAAAAATTTGAATTATGAATGAGAAGCATCTTTATTTTTGAATTATAATGATGATTTTGAGGTTTGACTTACAAAGACTGAAAAAAAATTATATGATTTCCCTACTAGAAAGCGTGACTTCTTTTTAATATAATTCCTGGAAAGATTTACATTCTTTTTATACTCTATTCTGGATTTGTGAAGATAGATGTAAAATAAAAATAAAAGCAGGTATTCAATACCAGATTATGATACCTGAATTTAGGTGTCACCTTGCTGTATCCATGGGATGTAGGTGTCTGAGCAGCCATTATCACCAAGGACTCTAATCAATACAGTTAGTAGACTCTAGGTGGACTGAATATAGACTCTTCTATAGAGCCTGAAGAGCTGTTCAGCTAAACAGCCAGTTAAGTGTATATTTTTGGATGAACTGAATTGCTCTCATGTCCTTGGATTATATTGACTAGATCTTCATCAACTGTAATGGAAAGTCAGACACCTAACATATGTTGTAGACATCTACAAATAGACACCTATGTCCAGATGTCTTATTCTGGAACTGAGTTCCATCCAAACAGAATAGAAATGGCTTGGGAAGGATTTCTCTATGTGTATCTTCTAGCTCTGTCATCTCCTTCATCACAGGGAACCACAGTATCATGCAAAGCTTTCTTGTGTTAGGTTTCTGTGCTACTAAACTAATTTACAGATGCTCCTTAAAACTCTGACTTTTAAATATAATCTTGAAGCAACGTAAAGCTGCATTTGGCTTCCTGAAATCCACTAATTCATTGAGGTTCACATTTGATGTGTGGGCTCTGTGAATAGTCCTAGTGTGTATTAGTACGTAGTGAGATTAGTATCACTGCCTTGTGTTTGTGTAGAGTTAAGCACGTGATTTAAATTCTTGAGGAACTGACTTTACTGTGTTAGACTGAAGAAGGAATAGTATATATTTTGCATAACTCTGCATAGAAGTGGGATGTGGCATAAGACCTGCTTAATAAGTGAAAGCTATCTTCAGTAATACAAAAATGTAAGTTTTATATATTATGTTTAGCATTGATAGAATAATTTTACAGCCATTGCTGTCTATTCACACTTTTTCACCTGTGCTTGTGACTTATCTTGTTTAAATATATTGCTAGCTTCCTGAGTTTGAGGGAGGAATAGTGTAAAATAGTAGGATCTCATTTTGTAACTTGTCTATTTGAAAGAAATATTGAAGAATAGAATAGATATTTTCAGAAAGCTTTAATAGTTATGAGGGCAGTTTTATACTTTTTCTTTTAAATCAGATTTAACAAAATCTGGTATTTCCCATACAGAAACTGCTGCACCAATAGACTATGGAACTTGGAGAGAGATCCATTCAACTCTGTGATCAATACGGGGTTCTATTATATTGAACTTGATTTATGCAAGTGCAGTGATCTGCCTATACAGTATGGATTACTGGACTTTGTTCCTTTAGACTTGCTTTATCAAATTCAGAAATAAAATTGAATGTTTATTCTATTTTTCAACATTTTTTCCTGAATAATTACTTCAAGGTTGCATAAAAAAACAATGGAAGAACTCTTGATATTAAGTTGACTCAACCTTTTAATATTATAAATAATAGTCTATGACTTCATACTATGACTTCATTCTATAGGTGTAATTTTCTAAGGGAAATTATATTTAAAGAGAAACTTTCTTCCTCATTAGGCTGTATCGAGGAAGAGCATACGCTAAGCAGCAGCAGTATAGAAATGCAATACAAGACTTAGCAGCAGCGGTTCATCTAGACCCTTCTTGTTGGTTAGCATTCTACTATAGAGGTTGCGTACTACGACAGATTGATCCACAAAGAGCTGTGCAGGACTTCAGTGTTTCTGGTATTGTTTGTTTCTTTCAATGATGTCTATGTTTACCATTAAAAAGAGGAATGACCATTCACCCGTAATTACTATACTGCAATATAACACATATTTCACGTTGCAAATATTGAAATGTACGGTTGTCATTCAGTGTTTGGTAATAACTTGCTTCTTTTCATTTCTATTAAGTTTGCTGTTAGACACTGACTCTTGCTGCTGTTGTTTTTCTTCAGTTATTTTGCCTCTGCTTCCTAAGCTTTTCTGTTTCACTTTTAACAATTCAAGTGGGTGTAACTGAGAATTATAAATATGTCTTGAAGGTATTTCGTGCCACAATAAACAGCTTCTGTTATGATCTAATATGTTATGTAATGGTTTATCTATGATATCTTATAAAACTCTCAGAAAACTAGAGTAAAAAGTAATGTGCAAATAGGTTGCATGCAGTAACTGAAATATACGTGAATATCTGAACAGTTTTTTTATTTTCCCTCTCCCACAGTACTCATCAATGACACTCAGGAAAATTTCTGTTCTTTTCTTCATCGTGGGATTCTTTACTCAGAACAGTGTCAATGGTCACTTGCAATCTGTGACTTTGAAAGTGTCCTAGCTTTGGACAGGTGATTGGACTTGAGAATTTTAATATATGTTGTTTATATTCTGATTACCTGGGGGCATAAAAGTACTAATAAAGGAAAGTAGAATCAGAACTGTTATTCAGCAAATAGACTGGAATTAAACCACACAAAATCATAATGTCTTCTTTTAGTATCTTTTGCCTCATTTGCTATATTCTGAGTATAATAAAAATAATTATTAATGTATTTCAAAATTAAATTTTATTTTGCTTTACAAGGCAACTTGGCAAATAACTTATTCAGGTTTGGCAGACAAAAGATGAAACTGAAGTCCTAATTAAAGTTGACTACTCATGCCATAATAATTTCATTGGTCTTTTGGGAGGGAATTTGTCCACAATGCAGGTAAAAAGTCAAACTCTTGTTTTTCCCAAAAGAAAATGCCACAATGTTTTCTTTAGCAAAAGCCAGTAAATGGTGTCCCTGAAATAAAATAAAAAAACCATGCTGTTTGTGGTCCTTGATAGTTGGTCACTGAAGCTGATGTCATTTCTCTGAATTGCATTGCTTCCTACCACTTAAAAATACTTCAGAAACAGATTATATCTGTAGCAGCCCTGCCGTGCAAATGGTCTTACAATATGCGACAAGCCTCCCATCCTAGTTAGCTGCATTAATTACCTTACTCTAAAGGTACTGAGTTCTTGTTCAGCCTTGGGCAACCTCAAGAGTTCTGTCTTGAGCAAAGGCTTCCATTCCAATCTGTGGCAGGCCTAAAGACCCCTCAGCTCTGCCTTTGTCTTGGCTCTGCTATAGGAAGTCTTGAACTTTGCCTAGAAACAGTCTGTCAGAGTGGGCTGCAGAAGACATTGCAGATCTTGGAAACCCAGGTCTCCCTAGCAGCTAGCCAAATGAAATGACAGAAAATAAGGGAGCAGGCTAGATGGAAAACGTGTAACCTTTGTCAGTCTTTTAAAACTACAATGTGTTTTTAATGTTGAAGAATTCAGTATTTCTCGATGTATTCAGTATATGCAAAATTACCAGCCAGCTCTATTTCTAGTCCAGCTTCTATGACAGAGACTTATTATTTCTTCACAGTTCTCATTTGGAGTGCTGTTTTTGGTTATCAGAGAGCCTCAAGTGTGCAGCCAAACATCACAAGCTACTAAAATGGTGTTTTTTAATGAGCTATCTCCTCTGCTGGCAATTACAATTCTTTAACTCAGTGTGATCACAAAATAGGTGTGTGGTAAATGTCATAAAAGTAGATGAAGCCTGTATAAGTTGTGGTTAATGCAATGACAGATTTCATGCAATAACAAAAGGAAAAAAAAAAAATCTGTTTCTAGCTCTGTCATCTTTGCATACCTCAATATTGGTTTGATACTGCTGTTGCATCTCGATCAATACTATGAAGCTATTCGACAGTTTACTAATGCCATTGAAATTGATCCTCTCAATGTTCGAGCCTATGTATGCAGAGCACAAGCATATCATAAGGTAATACATTCCTTTTGCTTTTGTTTGCCACTTAATGTAACTTTATTTATATTTATGGTTGTTGTGAGTATTTTATTACTTATGCCTTGGTGTTATACAGATGTTAGAACCTGCTTATAGCTATACATTTCAAGTAGTCCTTGTCACCATAATAGAATTACATATATTGCAATTGTAAAATATTGTTGGCATGTAATGCAATGACAAAAAATATTTCAAGTGTCATTTTATCTTTTCTACATCAGTGTACATGTAATCTCAGCTTTAATAGATTTTTTAAAATATATTTTAAATTTTTTTTTTAAATATGTATTTTTAAATATAAAAAAACACATTTTGAAATACAGTGTTTTCTAAACAGAATATTCTTGAGAATACTCATTTTTCAGGAAACTCAAATTTTCTTCCCCACAAATGGGAGTGAAAACATTTTCAATATTTTAATTTACTGTGAAACAGAATATATTCTACTTCTGCATGGGACTTGAGAATAGTTTCTGCTAGCAGTTGGTTTTTTGAAACCCTCTCGGGAATACAAAGAATGGAGTATTCAATGTGACCTAATTTCTGTAGATTTCATTGGCAGAATTCAAACAACTGTTGTGTCTCTCAGTGCTTAGTTTGTTTTAAAAGTGTTTTGAGAAACTGCTTACACTGGTTAATTTTCTTCCACAACTAAAGGAAATGGTTTTTAACTTAGAGTCCATCTAATTGGATTGATGATATTCTTTTTTTGATACAGTCTTTAAGAACTTGTGCCTGATAGTTTATATTGGAGGTCATCCACTAATGCTCAGGTTGCTTTTGTAGGCTTTTTCCTGCTGGTTTTTTTGGGGATTTTTTTGGCTTTTTTTAATGTCCATGTAAAGCAGTAAAATAAAGCTCAGTACATGCATTCCATCAATGCTATTCTTTAATGAGAGTTCGAGTTAGCAGCTATCCCAGCTGGATGAACCAGTCCTTGGGATCTTCACTGTAATGATCTTTCTCCTCAGCATCTGAAGCACACTGAATGGGACCACATGCACAGATACTTGAAAAATAAATGCAAATTCATTACAGTGATGAAGATTCATCAGGACATACATGCATGTGTATCTCATGACCTAATCTCCTTCCCAATAGACCAGACTCTTCTTTGGATTTTGGAAAAGTAAAGAACTGTCTGGAGTTTGGATCTGCCCTGTGGGAGAGTATGGAAATATGTAGAGTAAATGTTTCAGACCTTTATTAAAAACATGTTGAGCTCCTTTACAAAGGGTATATGTGCCTTGTGAGTTGTTACCGTATGGGCATTACATCCTGCAGAACCACATTTACAGAAATAGTAATTGTGCCTCCAAATTATGTTCATATTAGCAATTAAATTGCTGTTTTTTCTTTATAAATTACAGATTCGTAATTTACCAAATGCTGTGAAGGATATAAACCGAGCCATTCATCTTTACCCAAATAAATCACAACTTTGCATGCTAAGGTAGGAAACTGATTAGTTGAGAACTTCACAGATATCTCACTTTAAAAAAAAAAATTCTGTTTGGAATGCTGTTGCTAGATATTCTTGTATTCTTTGAAACCTGCTCTGAATGGATTTTAAAAAATGTAGTATTTTCATAGCATTTTCAAGCCTGAAGAACTTTATCTGTATAGTGCCACCCAACTATCGTAACTGTTACCTTGGAAGGAGGAACCTTATTTCATACACAGGATTCTGCTCTTTGAGGTACATATAGTTTCTGCGGAAAAAAAAGTAAACAGGTGCTGTAACAAAAAAGCAAGTCTGAACTTTTAAAAAATTAATAATTTTAAATGTTTTCCCCAAGTGAATGGGTCCTTCACTGATTTGTCTGCAGAATCCACATAATGCAAAGAATGTGAAGGATTGAGTCCAGGCCAACTTAGATTTGAACTATTCTTCTTCCTCATCTTCAGCCCAGTGAGAAGTAGTGATCTTTACAAAGACTAAAAAATAAATTCCTAGATAAAGCTGTTTCCTCCCCTGAAAAGCCATAAGAACTAAGGAGGAAATGCTAGGATACTATTCCTCAGGTGTATTAGGAGAATTAGTTACTATGTTCCAGTCAATAATACTGTATTTTCCCAGTTTTAAGTGTGGGTTTGCTGAGCTTGTCTCGCAGAGTATGGTTTGGCTAGTATGACCACTTATACTGATGCCGATATCTGAAGACACAAAAAATTGTCCTTGAAAACAGAATGTATCTATTGGCTATCAGTCTGTGGCGGATTTTAGAAACAGTATTATTAGGATTATTGTTGCAGTTCTTGAGATTGTAAGGATTACTATTTGTGAAATCTAAAGAAAATGTATTTTTGTAACTCCCACAATCTGAAGAGAGGTAAGCATATAATTTCTTGGTACTGTGATGTGAGAGAAAAAATAAAAAAATTGACAGATATTTCTGATGAAAAGAAAAAGGAAAACTTTGGATGTTTTTATTGGAAGGCATTATTTTTCCTTTTTCTCTTTTTATACTAGTGAAAACATATTTCAGTAGGATTTGCACTTTGAAAGAAATGCCTGGAAATAGTTTTACTGATTACATCCAACAAATATTTCATTACAGGGGACAGTATTTAATGGAGTTGAAGAAATATGAGCTGGCAAGTTTATGTATTCACCAACTTGCAGAAATGAATGAAGGTAAAGTGAATTTCCATCAGTTTTCCTAGATAATTGTGAACCATGGCAACAGTCTGTAACCAAGGAATTGTTCAAAAAAATTAAGTTCAAGCATGCAAATAGGTTAGTTACCGTGAATCAGCTAGAATATAGGAACTTATCTAGAGTATTTTGTTTGCATGTCTGAAGGCTTTAAAGGTAATAATGGTGTACACTATTGCCTGTACTATCAGCTGTGATTTCAGAATTTCCTTTATCTTTTAAGTTCTTATTGTTTTTCATTTCTATCTTTCAATATTGGTAATTTCTGCTTTAAAGGAATATTGAGTAAGAATTCTGTTCTGTACTTATGTACAGTCTTTCCTAAGAAAATGTCAAATAGCTTTAGAACTGAACCTTCCCAATGCGTTTGAACAGTAAAAATGTTGCAGTATAGTAGTACCTTGTTATGTGCTGGACATAAAATGGCAGTGTTCAGTGCGTTCTGAAGCTCTTGGTGAATCCATATGAATAGCTATACTGTGTGAGATTAATTTCCTGTCTCTGGTAGTGACCAAGAGTGGATAGACAGGGCAGAAGAATATAAAAACAAAGCAGGTATATGGTGATACTTCCACAGAGCAAAGCCTTCTTAGATGTGGGGAGATGAAGATAAATATTTGCAGATGTTTAGCAATCAAACTACACTCATTGATAAATAACTGTTCAACTTCAGACTTTTGTAGGAATTTAGTTTACATTTGTATTTTTATGGATGGTAAAACAAACTTTGATACTCCAAATATTTTAATAACATTTTAAAGTTTGCATGTCATTTAAAGGTATTTTATACTGGAAAACATGTAAGTTGAAGTAAAAGAGATTATTGTTTTTCATGGTGGTTTCCTTCCAGAATCCTTTACGACTCAGCCTGTTCAGCAAGCACTCATTCAATCATTTTGTCAAAATCACAATAAGGCCATAGAGTGCTTACGTGAAGCTACTGCAACTCAACCTGAGCCTTCAATGTTTGTTATTTTAGGAAAAATACAAATGAAAGCCAAGAAAACTAAGGTTAGAAAAGTTTACATTATATGTATGCCAAGCAAGACAATGTTTTTCTTTCTGTATTCTTTTAATATTTTATGAAATGTGCTAGTATATAAACCTTCAGAGTACCTCATTGTTTAAACTATAAGAAGACCTGAGTAAGAATTTTCAACAGCAGCACTAATAGTTCAGCATAAATTAGGGAATTTTTTAGTTTTAAAGCATTTTAGATGATCAATTAAAAGATACAATTATGTAGATTGAGGTCCATTAAATGTCATAAATTTTCTTCTTTTGAAATAAATATACAGAAGTATGTCTAGCATTTTTTGTCTAATAATATGCAGTACAAAAGTTTAATTCATGTATGTGAATTGAATATATAATATATAGTTACAGGTATTTTCTCAACTTTGTGAATATTCATATATCATAGGGTTTAACCAATATTGTTAATCCTCTGAGTCCTGCAGTTAGCCAATATTTGAGGCCTGCAGAATTGTTGAAATTGGCAGTATGGATTAGCTGTTTCTTTTTGTACAGTCCTATTTGTTTATGCAAACTGTACAGTCCTGTTTCCCTAAACACAATAGCAGGAAGAAACAGGTAGATTCATTAAACCTTGAATCTACCTATCGAGTTCTGTGTTTGAAATGCACGGTCTTTCTGTTTTCTCTTAGCCTTGTGTTTGCAGGTTCTTTTTAAATGAAAAGGTGTGCACTTTGCAAAAATTATACTCCTGCTCCCTGGGCTTGTACCAGATAAAACCTCTTAATCCATTCAGGTTTTTTTGTTAGGCTTGGGTGTTTTATTTGTCTCAAACCATAATGGCACATTACTAGTTCTGCTGACTTTGAAAGAATGCTAAGTCAATGACAGTGATCATTAGTATGCTCCAATGCAACCCATTTCAGTTGTCAAGGTTAAGAGGATGTGTACTAGAGTCACTCCCTGATTTCTGAGTGCTTCACCCAGAGGTGAGGACTTGCATCGCCATCTTTTCTGGAGAGATACGATACAATACTCTTAATATGGGAAAATGATCAGACTGTCCTGAGAATCAGCTGTGCCTTTAGAATTATATGTGGGTGAGTTCAGGTATCTACAGATCTTTTTCCTCTTAAAATAAGAGTATTTTTTAACATAAGAATAGACAAAAATGATTTTTAAATAGCAGTAAATGCAGACCTTTTTTTAAGGATTAAAACTTCTACTACCTTGAAAACTTAGGGAGGCAGGTGTAGTATTTGCAGACAGCCCTATGGGCACTGGTATTTCAAACTGATTTTTCTAAACAAATACTTCTTCATCTTGAATGACTCACTTAAGGAAAAAAAAGCTGTAATTCTTTTACTCTTCTTGATATTGAAACTTTTAACTGTGGTCCCTTTATAATCCTTAAAGGCTGAGGAATGGCTTATCTTGAACTGTTCTTAATTTTTTGGTTGTTTTCCTTACACCTTCCTTTAAACCAAAGCATTATTAAATATGCATAAATTATTGCCCAGATCTGTGAGACATGGTAAGATTCTGAGAGGCTATTCACTTAAGTTTCGCTCTCTATAGCTACCTGAAAGGAGGTTGTAGTGAGGTGGGGGTCAGTCTCTTCTGCCAAGTAGCAAGTGATAGGATGAGAGGGAATGGCCTCAAGTTGCACCAGGGGAGGTTTAGATTGGATATTAGGAAAAATTTCTTAACTGGAAGGGTTGTCAAGCACTGGAGCAGGCTGCCCAGGGAAGTGGTTGAGTCCCCACCCCTGGAGGTATTTAAAAGACTGGTAGATGTGGTGCTTAGGGACATGGTTTAGTGGTGGACTTGGCAGTGCTAGGTTAACGGTTGGACTTGATGATCTTAAAGGTCTTTTCCAACCTAAACAATTCTATAATTATATCATTCTATGTTCCTTCAATGCCTAGGGTTGATCCTTTCAATATATTTCTTAATGGTTATTAAATTTAGTAAGCTGTCTATGGAATAAATAGTTTATAATTATTTACATAAAGAAACCTGTAGCAAGTACTTCATTACCAGACTGCATCAAAAGTTATACCTTTTCTTCCTGAGGAAATTAATGTAAGTAAAATTAATAAATAATTATAACTAGCTATGTACTTAAATAACAGTATAAATGAACTGTATGTTATTTCTAGATCATGTACATTAGTTACTTTGTCATATATAAATAAAACTCAGGAATATTTCTCTGTTTTTCTAGTCACTTATTAATATGAACCATCCAGAGATCAAGAGTGTGTCTAACTCCAGCAACATCAAGGAATGTAGACTAGTCATTTTTACCATAATGTTCCAAAGAAAGGCTAGGAAAAAAAAAATTTGAAATAATTTAAAATGTCTAACAAATCTTGCAGGTTTTCAGTTAAGTGCTTTACAAGTATTAATATTCTCCGTATTGCAGGATGCTCTGAGAAGTTTTAAAAAAGCTATGAAGCTCCTGATGACCTCAGCAAAAATCCTGCCTAATACATTTGAGGCTGCAGAAATGTATTATCGCACAGGCCTGTGTTACATGGAGCAAAAATGTTTATTACGGGTTGGTATTAATTATATAGAATATATTAGCCTTTGACTCCACTGCTTGTAAACAACAACTATGATAACTGAGTGAATGATTTCAATATTTTAAACAGCCTCCACTGCCTTTAGCAATTTTCTTTTGAATTCTTGATGTACATTAGACTGTCTTGCAAGTTTGTGAGTAATTTTTTCCAGTGCTAATGTTATGGTTTTTTTAATGCATGTCATTAATTGCCATTCTGATAGAAGAAAAAACTGTATTAATTTCTTACCTGTTTATCAATGTCTTCACAGATTTTACAGACAAACAACACTCATGTAGGAGTATCAGGGGCTTAGGGAATTGGTAGTAAACTTGGACAAAGGAATTCCTAAATTATTGTATTATGGAGTTGGTTGTAATTTGTTTTATATTACTGTAGGTCATAACACCCCTAGCTGGTTCTCTTTGGCACTTACGTATGATGCTTAAGAAACAAACTGCATTACCTAAGAAAAATATATTTCCCTTCTTTCCACAAAATCAATACTTTTAACTGATTAGAGAACTCTTTGTTGAAAACTATTGAAAGCCTATGAGTGGGCTTTGTGGCAGGCCTAGTGTGGGTTCATGCAAATGTTTTCTATGTTGATATTTTAATAAATATGTTTCAGCTGTTGATTTGCTAAAATGCTCAAGACAGAAACTAGAAACATTTGAAATATCAGAATTTCACAGGGAAGAGAACAATTTTTTGCCTTGTCTGCTTCCAACCCTGTTTGTCAAAAGTGATATTCTTTTGGAAGAAGGCTGTCAAAATTGTCTGAAATATGTAATGTGGTAATACATGACAATTGCAAAAGGTGACTTTCTGTGTCGATCAATGTACATCTGATATTACAGCTGTAGATCCCGGAAAAGCCCATGACTTTGTAAGCTAATGTACAATGTAGAGGAAAAAACTAACTGGATGGATTTTAAAGGAGTTGCATGCTAGCCATGTTAATCCATTGTCTGTTATAATAAACAACAACACTATTTCGGCTCTTACAGACAGAAGACCATGTGCTCGGTTAAAGTTTTGCAGTCTTACTGAAGAAATGAGATTATTAAATGAGTTAGATTGTGCCTCCTTGAGGTTATGATTGCGTTAGGTAAGGTGTTAAACATTACAAAATTTTAAGTAGTGGTAAATGGATGAAAGTGATAAAAAACAATGCAGGTACGTGGTGGGTTCCAACTGCAAAAATAGGTCATACCGAGCTGTGCAAAAGAATCAGTTAGCCTATGGCTTCAGCTGAACAAACAGACCATATTTAACCCAGATGATATGTCATCCTTTTAGGCCCGTGATGCATTTAGTATGGCTATCAGACTACATTCAAGCTACCCTGATGCTTTTTATCAGCGAGGGCTGTGTAGAATGCAGCTCGGGCAAGCTAAGTGCATCCGAGATTTCAATCGAGCACTTGCCCTTTGTCCATCACATTTCCAGGTAATATAAAGACTCCTGTTTCTGTGAGGCGTTTTTGGATGGGTTCAAAGACTGACAGGTTTTGCGTTTATGGGTGTATTGACTTGTAATCTGCCAGCAAGCACATGGCAAGCGTTAAATAAAAGAAATTACAAGTGTCGTAAGATGTATGTTTTTATAAACCTGTAATTTCTGTCTTCTATTTAACCCTTGGTCTGTCTTCTATTTAACCCTTGTTTTATAATGCTAAACAAAGCTGTTTTTTTCACCACGTCATCATTCTGTCTTCTCTACAGGCATATATGAGTCTTGCTGCTTACTATGGAAGTAAAGGTAGATACTCTAAGGCAATTCTGAATTGCAATGAGGCAATCAAAATTCTTCCTAACAGTGTGCGAGCTTATTTTTACCGAGGAACCTTGAAGTATCAAAATAAGGTGGGGCTGTCTTTATTGTTGTATTTTTGCATTCTCCCTTAAAACCTGATTTATCTTACTTGACACTTTAGAATGGTGAAATAATGGTAAAAGTGTTGCTGATGGAAACCAGGAATTCCACTTGATTATTATACTTTCCATTTCCCATTGAAGCTACTACCTGGTTGTTCTATCAAACTGAAAATGATTGATGGGCTAGAGAACCTACTTAGCATCTATCTGGTTATTCTCCTCTTAAGTTCCACAGAATAGATTCTTACCTAGTGATAGACAGAAGTACCAAAACTCCGCAAAAGATACTTTCTATGTTAGGTTAAGATGTAAAATGTAAGGTAGTAAAATTAAGTATTGATTATGTATTGCAATATATGGATGTGATGTAAGAAAACACTAAGAATGTTTGTTTGCCCAGCCTTTGCACACATAGATCTTCTGAAGTACTCCCACTGCAGTAAGGACTGCAGCAAGCAGTCCATAGAGGACATAGTGAAATGATTGGATGCCTTCCAGTACTGATGAGGAACCAAAATGTAAAACAATGAAATAAAATTTTACAATAGGCTATTATTTGAGGAAGAATATGTAGTGCCATGAATTCTGAATTACAATTTATATGGTTTTTTCATTTGCAGACATTTAAAGCTGCAATTGAAGATCTTTCAAAAACTATCGACCTCAACAAAACCTGCATTTTGGCATATTATAACAGAGCTGTCTGCTATCATCAAACAAAAGACTTTAGAAAGGTATGGTATTAATTTTTTTTAACATCACATGAACATGCAGTTGTTCATATTAGCTAGTAACATGTTCTTGACAATTAGTCAAAATTTCTGTCCTCCTGCAATGTCTTCCTGAATGATTGTGCTCTTCAGAAAATTGTTTAAAAAAAAAAAAAGGCTTTTCGCTCCCTATTATCATATTAATTACATTTGATATCCCTTTGAAAATATAAGAACTATATCCAGAAGAAGACTACATCAAGACAGGGATTTTGACTACATCCAACCCTCATTCACAGCCCTGTTTTTCTGGATGTGTTTATACTTCTGTCAACTTGCCCGTGAGCTGCCTCTGAGTGTTTCTGCTTTCTGCCTTTGTTATAAAGCAAAGGCACAACAAGGTACACAAAGGCACTATTGAGAACACAATTGTGTCGAACTGTCTTTTTAATGAGGCCTATTTTCTGAGACAGGGCTAGTTCCTAAGTATTTGAGCTTGGATGCCTCAAGTCAAATCGACCTTGGGCAAAGGCCATTTGTGCTTAGAGGTTAATTGGCCAAGAATGATGCAGATGGGTAAAGAAAAATAGGTGATTACAGTAACTGAAGGTAAAAGTTTAAAATGTGAAAATGGTAGTTTCTTTATAAATAAGATATTATGGAAGATGTTCTTTGCTATCATCACTCTCCTGAAAAGCCACTTAAAGTATAAGGGAATTTGCAGAAAAAATGTAGTATATTATTGGCAGAAGAAATTTACTAGATCTAACAAGAACTGGACTGTTTTCTTTAAAGGTGTTTCTAATATCTAGCTTAGTTTAGAAGTGACAAAGAATAGAACTTCTCTTAAGTGTCTAGTATATGGGATACTGCAATCAAGGACATTTTTGTCATATTAGCTCTAAACTGTCTAATTATTTTTAAGTATACTACATAATTCTTCAGGTGAAAAAAGAGTTGGGCTAGAACTTCTTCAGATCAAGCATTATTGAAATACTGTTCAGTTCTGATAAATTTGAGAATTGATGCTTCTTCAGTCTACCTAGTCGTGTCACTATTTGGTCTTTAACAAAATTTACACCCAAATTTAGTTAATAAAATCAGTGCTTAGATTTTGCAATAACAATAAATTATATTTGAAAAGATTTAATTTTAAAAATACCTTACTTTGACATTAATTCATGACTAATTAATCTAGAATAATTTGTTGGGTTTTTTAGTAAGAATTTGGATATAAAATTTAGTAGTAGAATTAATTAAGATTTATTTCTAACTCTGAAATTTATATAATGACAAAATAAGTTTTAATTATGTCTGTTTAATATACTTGCATTATCTTTGCTTCTGTACTCTAGGAATGAGTATCTATGTAATTATAGAAGGCTCCAAATTCAGTTAAATTCAGTCTGGAAACAGTGAGACATTGGAATAGCCACACTGAAGTCTGTGCATATGCACATGATTTGTAGGAATTTGAAAGCCTGTCTTTTAAATTTTGAAGCGTCATTGTATCCCTCTGAATAAATTATGGTTTAAAATACATTTTATGTTTTTGTAGTCTTTGAAAGATTATGGAATTCTTCTTCTGCTTGAATTGAGTAAGGAAATAGCTTTTAAAGTGCTAATTAATCGTGGACTACTCTACATGGAACTTGGTGATTATGCTAATGCATGTGAGGTACAAAATCTTTCTTTGAGTAAAGGAAATGTAGAGTTTTCTGTTAAATGTAAGCCATTGCTGATATAAAGACCAGCTTGACAGTTTTTATATTCTTCTGAAATAGTTTGTGCCCAGTTCTCATTTGCTTAACACCTAATGCCAATCTGGCTGTGAAGATGCAAATAAAATGCAGTTTTATTTGTTTTATGATTTTATCCTGCTAGAGTTAAACACGGGAGTTGCACAAAATTTAATAAGCAAGAACCTGATTTTTCCTTCTTTTTTAATCTTGAAGTAATTTATGTTGAGTCCAAATGAGTAGCAATTCATTGCAGAAGCCTAAATAAATGGAGGTTCTGATTGAGTGGGCTTGTTTTTTTTCCTCTGTGTGTGTGCGCGCGTGCGTGTAAATGACCGTTTTTGTTGAGAGGGCAGGAAGGGTCCAACCTCAAGATAATTTTCTTAAATGTAAGAAATTAGTATATGTTTCTGACACTGACTCACAGTGCAGATGACTCTCATTCCATGGGACTGCATCTGGTGTGGCAATAGCAGGCTTGAAACCTAACAGTGTTAAACATTACTCTTTAACACACAAGGGTTTTTATTTTTGAATTTTAAATAGCTTTCAAGTTTTCTAAAAGTTTTCATTTTTTTAAAAGTAGGGGTATTTATTTTCAGTATAACTGGTGCATTCATTGCTTCCATTGTGGACTAGTAACTTTAAAATGTGTTATCTTCTTTATGTGATAGCAACAATTTCAGCACAGGCATTCTAAAAATTGAGTAATATTTCTTATTTGCAAATAAAAAATGAAGAATGAATATGAATCCCATTCCAATGACCCAGAAATGTCCTATTGAAAATGCACAACAAAAGCTCTTTACAGTTGGTAGACCTTGCATGGAAATAGTAGAAATAATAAGTAGAAATACTGTGGTATTGGTCTCTTATGCTTCAAGATGCAATTGATGAGAATAGTTCAAAAAAGAGGCTGAGGTGGTACAAACTGATATGTAAGGCCAGTAGAAGAGACTGGGGCAGAACCAGCAGGATGAGCAAAAAGTTCTTTGAATGGGTTGTAGTGAAGACAAATTTACAAAATGGTAATTGAACAGCAGACACAAAAATATAACAGCTAATTTAAGAAAAACATTAGTGATTATAAATATGCTTGAGACCTTATGTATCAGTTCTGATAATATTTTGTTGCAAGGAGTATGTCTGTATACGTGTATAGTGCTGGGTGAATTAGGGTATAATTTCTTAAGCACAGATACATATTACTTGAAGTGAGTGTATTGCTGAATTGGGTACACTGGAAGAAAAAGGAAAAGTTACAATTCAGTCTATATAAGATCTGAATTGCTGTATAGAGGTGTCTTTTCCTGTTGATTCTGTGAAGTCTGTAGTTACCTGTAAGGATAGCACCTTTGATTTATGTAAACCAAACCTGGTCCTTGGAACTTTGATCCTGCTTTTGTTCTGCTCCATACACAGAGCAGAGCGTTTACTCCAGATTGTGCACATGAAGAATCCAATTAGCTTTGCTGGGTATTCTTTGAAATGCTTTGCTAGATGGGAACAGTGTGTTTCAGTAGGTTTTTAAAAACAGACCTATAATTTTATGATAGTGTGTTCACCAAAAGAGAGTTTTTTTTAAAAAACATATACATATACATATACCTGCACATTATTATTTTGCCACTTCTGTAATTCCAACAGTACTAAAATCTTCCACATCTTATTTTTACAATTTAAACAAGTAAAAAATGCTTTCTAAGTTATAGTTCAGTGGATGCATCAGCTAAACCACTCCTACTACATACTGATTGCTTTCCAATGCAGAAGCATAAAGTGCTTCCTTACATCATAATTGAAATTATTGTATTTGATTTTAAAAGCACCTGTACAGTTTTTACAGTTGAACAACACATATCAAAACCATAAACATTTTGAAAAATGTTCTGAATATTAGTAAAAGGCAAAAGTCAAAAGCCCTATGAAGTCTTTCACTGGAACATTGTGCACAGAATCTCCCAATTCAAATATGAGTTTGCTTTACTACATTTATCAAAGTAATAACAGAAAGCAAGTAGATAATTTTATTACTGGAAGAATTCTGTTGGAATTGCATATAGCAAAATATATTTTCAACATATATGTATTTAATAATAGTAGCTGAGGTACAGTGTTTCAATTAAAAACAAACAAAAAATACCTCTCTGGAATGTTTTGTTCCTGGAAATGTTGCCTTCAGCTTTGTAGGAAATACCATGATACCATATAACTTTATTTTATTCTATCTAAGTCTGGCACAAGAAGTATGAAAACAGTTAAATACATCTCCAGTACTTCTGAATGTATAATGCCTTTGTCAGAAGTCATCTCTCTTTTTATATAGAAGTATAAAATTGTTTAGCTAAACCCGCAGTTGTAGGTCAAGTGAAACAATATCAATTTGCATGGTTTAATGTCTGTTCTTTTCAGGACTTTAAAGAAGCAACGTTGCTTAGTCCAGACAATAGCCAGATCTTTCAAGCTCTGGGAATCTGCTATCATAGGTAAGACATGTAGTTTTGTTTGATGGAGAGTAGAAAAATGAAATAATTCCTGAGCTTTATATTCCTGTTCACCTTTTCATATTGAGTACACTGAGAACGGGGGGAGGAGAAAATGGTAAAGAGGAATGGAAAAAAGAAAATTAGATATTTTTCAAGTTTAACAACTGGTATTAAAATCTTCTGGTATCAAGCAACTATGTGTTCATGACAGCATCAGGAAGAAATCCTAGGATGATAAAGTAGAACCAGGAGAAGGACTGAAGAGCAAAGAATTATGAGATAAACAGAGTTGGGTTGGTTTGTTCAGAATTAGGATGCAATTTCTGTTTAAATATGCACTTTGTCCTTTAAAGAAAAGCAAAACCATCAATGGTCTTCCTTGCCTGAATTTTTTATTCGGAAATTCTAAAGTGTAGTTTCATTAAGAGGACTTTTATTTATAAAGACTAAATTAAATCTGTTAATCACTTAAAATAGACATAAATTGGAAGAAATAAGATGTACGTTAGTATCTTAGTCTACTTATCATACTGGCACTTGGAATTGATAACTCCTATTTCACACAAATATCACCTATGATACAAAGGAAATTTTAATAACTATCTGCCTATTAGTTTAGTCTAATCTATTTTATTCTACTGTTACTCTGCCATCTATCACTGCTTAACCTTGTTGCTGCTGAGGCAGTGTGGAGGTGGACATAGTCAGGATTGTAGCACCAAAACTTGTTGTGTTACTATGCCTGTAGCTAGGGCATAACTGGCTCCACCTTTCACAGTATCTGGATGATGTGGAACTCACACAGGAATGCTGAATCCTGCTTCTAAGAATGGAGCGTATGATTTTGGTGCCCATGTCTGTATTCAATTGTCAAAAGCAATCACTAATAACTATATAACTTGGCTGTATAACCCGTTTTAAGATGCATTTGGGATCCATCCTGCAGTCTCTAACCTCATGACTGCCTATCAACAGAATTGGAACGAAGACCTAATTTGTTTTTGCAACAAGTGTTGTGCTTTTAAAAAGCATTTGCTTTACAGCCCTTGAAGTTATTTGTTAACTAAATATATTTAATCTTTCCACTTTTGGTAAAGAAGTCAGACTGTGCTTCAGGTAGACACCGATAGCTTATATTCAAACAATATCTTGTCTTTCAGTATCATCTTGGTAAAACGGTTTTGTACTTTGACACGTTAAAGTTTTTGCTTTATGTGTAAAGTTACTTACTAGCATTCATTGACATTTCAGTATTTCATCCTTTTTATTGATACTCAGTATACCTCGGATGCATCAAGTTTTTATCCATGGATGGAGTTCCACATTTGGCTTACTCTTAGACCAGAATGGTCTGCGCTTAGAACCCTGAATATTGTCTCTTTTTACCCTGCAAGTTTAGCATAGTTTGGATACATTCAAGAATCAGTATGAGAAAAAACAGAGAGAAAGCTTGTATTAGAAGTAAGTTACTTATGGCTGAAACATCTGTGCCTGAATAGACTACCAAACCCATATTTGGTCATGACATTTGGACAGCATGAATGAGTCAGATAAAGTCTCCCTGAGTTCAACTGTTGAAAAGGTGAAATCTTGGCCCAGCAAAAGTTAATGAGAGTTTTGCTGTTTTCTTCATCAGGCCAAGGAATTCTAACTGAAGTCTGCAAGGTCTTACGCTGACTGCCTTCACTGTTATAACCACCAGGGAGCACATACAGAAAGCAAACTTAAGCTGGGGGGGACGGGGGGGAAGTGTCCCTTTCAGTCAGAATTGAACTACTTTCAATAGGCATTATGGGGTAGTATTTGCTGATCATTCATAAATTGAGAATTTTATTTATAGAATTTTTAAACAGCAAACATTAATATCTCTATTTTTAGACTTCATGAGTTTGAAGAAGCTGTGAGATCATTTGACCAGGTTCTCAAACTAGATCCTGTTTCTGTGGATGCCTATGTTGGACGAGGAAATTTGTACATGGAAAATGGATGTGAGGCTGGTTGTAAACAAGCACAGAAAGATTTCTTGAGAGCAATTCACCTGAATCCAAAGTGTATAAAAGCTAGAATTTGCTTAGGATACAATTTGCAGGTAACACACCAAAATTCATTGTCAATGCTATGTTTAATCAAACAAAATAACATCAATCTTACATGCGTACATTGATATAATACATAATAATAATAAACATAAAATAATCCATGTACTTTAGACAAGCCTTATGACATCTTCTTTCTTTTTAAGTAAATAGACAAACCATTATTTTCTTTTCACTTTTGTGCCCAATCTTGTTGGAGTTCTTCTCTTGAATAATGGAATATCAAGTAACCTTACACTCGTTTGATTTGCATATATGGTTCTCTGATAAACTGACATTAAGAACTGGCATGTTTTGTGTGTATGAGCTGTTTACTGAAGTTAAAAGCAGCTAAAATGTTGACAAATCTGTGTAAAACAATCTTGTATGTCCTAATTATCCAAACTACACTGTTAGCAAATCTGCTAAAATCCCTTGGTAAAGGCCTTTATATATAATCTCTGAAAACTGCTTACCTACATAGAAAATAAACTTCTATATTAGCAAAGGCATATATGATATGACTTGACAGTTTTCATCTGTGTCTAATTTCTGTCATTTAGTTACTGTGATTTATTATATCCTGTTGTCTGAAATGTCTTGAATTGTCATGAATCTTGTTGTGAATTATTTTTTGCCAATGTAAATGTTAGTAGCCTGTGTCAGGTAGTCTTGCGTAGTTGTCTTGCAAATTTCCTTTTACAGCTTTGCCAGTTCACTTAAATTCTAACTAATGCTTTCACAGTGCTTTGGGAAGTACTGTGCAAGAGAAAAACCTGGAGTGACTACATTGGTGAGTAGGTAAGAATAAGACATAGGTAGGAATTAGTCATCTTAGGTGCAAGAGGCAACCCAGAAAGTTCCCATAGTGGCAGGTGCTTAATTTCTGAGAGGCCTAAATCTCACTAGATGCCTTTTCTTAGGCCTTATACCTTTCGGGGCTTAAACAGAGACACATATGGCAAAGTATTTTAGTGCGGGGAACTAGATGATTCATCTACCACCCTTGCTTAATTAATACGTATATTAGGTAAAATGTTTACATTTTGCCTGTGGTCCCAAGTGGCCTGCTTGCCCAGAACTAAGCACTTTCTTGACTCTGCTAAGTCCTTCACAAGGTACAGTATACCAGAGTTCCATTTGACTGTCCAGGGAAGGTACTTTTGCTGAACAACCTAGCAGTTTAATTTTATTGCTATGTGAAGTCCAATATATAAGTCTTCAGGCCACAAGCTCATATATAGCCCATCAAGAGTTGAATCTGGTGAGGGACATGAAGGTCAACAAGAAAGGCTTCTACAAGTGCATTGGTAGCAAAAGGAAGATTAGGGAAAATATGGGTCTGCTGCTGAATGTAGCTAGGGTTGCAGTGACAAAAGACATGCAGAGGTACTCAATGCCTTCTTCACCTTGGTCTTTACTGGAAAGACTGGCTTACAGGAATCCCAAGTCCCTGTGACCCATGGAAAAGTCCAGAGCAAGGAAGACTTACTCTTGGTGGAGGAGGTTTGGGTTAGGGAACATTTAAACAAAATGGACATACAAAGTGCATGGGACCTAGTGGAATACACCCACAAGTGCTGAGGAGCTAGCCAACATAACTGTGAGGCCACTCTCAACTATCTTTGAAAGGTCATGGCAATCGGTAGAGGTTCCTGAAGACTGGAAGAAAGTAATTGTCACTCCTATCTTCAAAAATGGCAAGAAGTAGGATCTGGGGAACTACAGGCAGATTAGCCTCACTTCAGTCCCTGGAAGGGTGATGAAGCAAATAATTCTGGAAATTATTTTTAAACACATGAAGGACAAGAAGGTGATTGGGAGTAGTCCGCATGAGTTTATGAAGGAGAAATTATGCTTAGTCAACCTGATAGCCTTCTACGATGAGATAACTAGCTTGTGAATGAGAGGGGAGCAGTGGATGTTGTTTATCTTGACTTTAGCAAAACTTTCAGTAGTCTTTCAAAAGGTCTTCATAGAAACCCTGGTGAAGTATTGTCTAGATAAGTGGACAGTGAGATGAAATGAAACCTGGTTGAACTGTTAGGCTCAAAGGGTCATTATTAGTGCCACAAAGTCCAACTGGAGGCCAGTCACTAGTGAAGTACTCTCAGGGGTCAGTAATGGGTCCAATACTGTTTAACATCTTAATGACCTGGATGATGGAGTAGAGTGCACTTTCAGCAAGTTTGCAAATGATATAAAATTGGGAGGAGTGGTTGATATGTCAAATGGTTGTGCTGCTGTTTAGAGGGATGATGGACTGGACAGCCTGGAGAAATGGCAGACAGGAACCTCATGAAGTACAACAAAGGAAAATGAAAAGTTCTGCATCTGGGGAGGAATAACTTCATGCACCACTACAAGCTGGGAGCTGACTGGCTCAAAAGCAGCTTTACAGAAATGGGCTTGGTGGTCCTGATGGACAACAGGCTGAAGTTGTCAGTGATGTGCCCTTGCAGTAAAGAAGGCTAATGATACCCTGGGCTATGTTAGGAGCAACATTGCCAGAAGATCGAGGGAGATGATCCTTCTCCTCTACTCAGTACTGGTGAGGCCACATCTGGAGCGTGTCCAGTTCTGGGCTCTCCAGTACAAGAGACATGAACATACTGGCGCTCATCTGGTGAAGGGCCACTAAGATGATTAAGGGCTTGAAGCATCTGTCGCACAAGGAGAAGGGAAAGAGAGATGAAGGCTTAAGGGGAGGAATAAATATCTGATGAAGGAGTATAAATAAAGTGGAGCCAGGCTCTTCTTAATGGTGCACAGTGACAGGACAGGAGGCAATGGGCACAAACTGAAGTACAGGAAGTTCCATTTAAACATCAGAAAACTTTTTTTTTTTTTACTGTGAGGATGATCAAACACTGGAACAGATGGCGCACAGAGGTTGTGGAGTCTCCATCCTTAAAGATATTCAAAATTTAACTGTACGTGGTCCTGGGCAACCTGCTCCAGCTGACCCTGCTTTGAGCAGGGGGTTGGCCTAGACAATCTCCAGAGATCCCTTTCAAACTCAACCATTCTGTGATTCTATGATGTAGAAGAGGTAATAGTTGCAGTTAAAACCGTTGTGACAGATACATTATGTAGTTGCAAAGACAATGAGTATTGCATAGTTAACAAGATACTTGAAAATTAACAAGATATTTGAGTTCATTTTTTCTGTAATTTAGTTAACTGTGTTTGTAAATATAAGCATGCTTCTGTTCTCTGCTGTATTTTTTTAAGTGGGACCATTAGTATGTTTGGCATTTCTTATGTTTCTTATTGTGGACACATTGCAATTCACTTTAGGCCCTTGGAAAGCTTCAGAGAGCATGGAACCAATTTACAGTTGCCATTTGCATTGATCCAAAATGCTGTGCTGCATATGATGGACGAGCTTCAGTCTGTCTTCAAATGGGTGAAACTTTTGCTGCATTTCAAGATACAAATGCCGCACTAAAGGTAGATGTTAGCTTAAAGTGATTTTACTAAAATCAACCTGTTGCTATGAAGCCAACCAATACTGTACATCAGTAGTTGCCAATTTGGATTAGAAGGTGCCATTAATTTTTTTTAAGTAAATTTATCTTTGAAAACCAGCATAAATTACTGTAGAAGTGTAAATTTTCCCTGAGTAAGAATGCATCTATGTTTTCCTGTCAGCTCACTACCACTGCTCCGCTGCTAACAAACCGCGGTGTCATCAATCAGTTAATGGGATATCTACCCTGTGCCATGAAGGACTATCAGCAAGCAATTTCTGTTGACCCAAACTATGCATTAGCCTATTTCAATGCAGCAAATATCTACTTCCATAATAGACAGTTTTCACAGGTAAGTCTACAGTCTGTCTTTATACTGCCTTCAGAACTTTTTTCCTTGAATAAATACTGTTGGTATAAAGCTGTCTTTAAGTATAATTAACATGAAGCTTTCTTACGTTGAATTTCATGGTCCTCTACCAGGAGATGAATTAATCTGTAGTAATTAATAATAAATAATTTACCTATTACTATGTATTTTATAATTGATATGAATGAACGTGACATGACATCAAATATTCATGACAGCTAGGATACACATCACAAAAATTTGTAAATAATTGAGATACCAAAATCCCACTGATGTTCAGTAACTTTCCTCCAGCCTAACTCCCATACATTAAATAACTTGCCTGGATTCACTATAGCACCATGGCAAGGAGAATGAAAAGAATCTCCTGCTGATGAACTTCAATCAAGAAGTCAGATCTTCCTCCTGTTACCACAGTAACTTTGGAGTTTTAAATCACCTAATTCTGCTTAAATACAGTGGGTATCTTCAAATACAGAAGAGTTGAATACTGAAATTCCTCTTGTGAGAGAATCTGAAATCTGCTTGAAGGCAAGGACCATTTATTTTTCTCTATGTGAGGAGGCCTCTGCAATGATTTTTCCATTGGTCTTCCCCTCGTGTTTCCTGGGCATAGGCTCAGGCTTTTATTTGATTGGAGCTTTGTGGTCCAGCAGCTGTGGAAACCCAGAACCAGCATGGATGCTTCAGCCCATTTCATGTACTTGAATTAATTCTCTCCTAGATTTGCATCTGTAAACCCTTCAGCTTGCAGTTTACCTATTAAGGAATTAATCATGTATAGTACAGGCTTGGCATATGATTTTAAACCTGGACTGTACTTCATACAGCACAAGAAACAGATCATGTAAGAAAAAAATTAAATGTTCTTGTATGTTTCTCTGAGTTAGATTCCTTGTTGCTCTTGAGCATTAGTTAGACTTGGATCAGAAATTCCTTAGGAGTCCAAGGTCAGTGCCCTACATATGGCTGCTTCTGTGATCAGGTAATCTCTTTTCTTATGCATCTGGTATCATTCTTCCATGACTGGTCTTGCATAGGCTGTTCTTCCTCTTTACTGTGTTTCTGTGACTCCTTACTGTCTCACAAAGGCTGCCTAATTATGAAGAAAGAAGTTCAAGAATAGGTATTGCATTATAAACTCTCTTCTATGTTAATTCAAATTGGCCTTAGTGTGTAGCTTATTTCTTCTGCTATAATTACAATTCAGCATAAACAGCTGTTATTTTTCAAAAGTCTGCCTGAGTGGGGATCGACCTTCTTGTGGATAAACATGCTGGTGCTGTGTCTCTCTTTCTGTGCACAAAGAATGCTGAACAGAATGAGTAAAGACTTAAGAATACTAACAGCTTAAAGAAACAAACTGGAATTTACAAGTTGTATATAATCCATTTCCTCAAATTTTAAGTGTACTTTGTCTCCAATTCATGTGTTTTGTAGGCCTATTGCTATTATTCCAAGGTATTACAACTTGACCCGAGAAATGAATCTGCTGTTATGAATCGTGCTATTACAAATACATTACTAAACAATATTGAAGAAGCAAAAGAAGACTTTGAGAAGGCAATTTGTCTCTGCCCGTTCTCTGCAGCAGTGTATTTTAACAGGGCAAATTTCTATAATGGATTGAAGCAATATGAACTAGCTGAGAAAGACATTTCAACAGGTAATCTTTATTTACCTGTCATGATTATGCTTGGTAGCATACTAAAAATTATGATAACAATTATGATGTGGAACTGAAGGACACAAGCTCTTTAGGAAGGACAGGTAGGGGAGAGGAGGAGGGGATGTTGCCCTTTATGTCAATGACCAGCTGCAGTGCATGGAGCTCTGCCTGGGGATGGATGAGGAGCCGACCAAGAGCTTATGGGTCAAGATTAAAGGGAGAGCAGGGACAGATGACATTATAGTGGTGGTCTGCTACAGGCCACCCAACCAGGATATTGAGCTCAATATTGCTCCGTTGCTGCTTTTGACATTGCTGCTAACATGAGATTCAGCAACTCTGGATACACAGGCAAACATCTTCCACTAACTAAAGCTATGTTTAGTTTGTATTAATTTTATTGAAACAAAACTTAGTAATGTGACTTTGATTTGACAACACTCGATTGCAGAGGTAATGATCTTTCCTGAATGGATAACTTTCTTTAGATTTTTTTTTTTTTTTTAGAAATTAGTTTACTTTTACACTGGAATTTGTCAAAATAGTGTTTTTACTTCATGGCTTTCATGACTAATGTTTTTATAGTGTTTGTTAAATGGCGAAAACTGACTAAACCAGGGAGCTAATTGATTTTTTTAAAAAATTTTCTCTCTAAATCAGAATTTTAAAACAGGAGATTAAGCTTTCCAACAAGTACCTAGATCCTTTCTATACAATGGAGAAACTGAATAAGATATTGGGTTCATTGCCATGTTCCAGAAGTTGGATGGTGGTAGTTTTCTTCCCTAAGATTTTGCTTGTGTTTCAGACGAAAGCATAGTTTCTGCTGTTGGGGTGAAATTAAAGTGGGATTCATAAATGGCATCCAAAAGAGAAAAAGAATTCAAAGTATAAATAACATAACGAAGTTGCCTACCCCTTGATGTAAAGTTAATGTATGTAATATGTTCTCTCTTGTGAAAGCATGTCTGGAGAAGAATTTGAGCACTGATAAAGGTTTTTGGATGATGCTTCTCTTTATAATCATGTGATAATGTTAAAGAACCCATAATATTCTATTTCTTATTTTTACAGCATTGTCAATTCAGCCTAATGATGCTTTGATGTATAAATTTAGAGCTGATATTCGTGGTAAACTGGGTTTCAATAAAGAGGCTGTAGAAGACTACAAACAAGCAATCAGCATTCAAGAACAGATTGATTCCATGTGAAATGATACCAGTTCTCATACCACTTGGGTTCTAGTTACAGATTTCTCAGACCTCTAATTAAAAAAGTCTAACATGCAAAAAAAAAAATTATAATTTATCTTCATTTTTATATATTCTACACACATTTTATTCTCCTAAATAATATAATTACCTCGATTGTGCAAAACTAGCCAGAGTTATTTAAAAATAGAATGCCACATTTAATTTTTGAGTTATAGATTGTTCTTTATTTGTTAGTGTCAAGAGATAACTGATTGTGTTATGCGCAAAATGAAGGACGGAGAAGAGGAATTTATAGGCAAAAGACCTGTACCATATTGGTTATAGAAGGATAAAAGAGACTACACTGCCCCTCCCTCTCAAAATATAAATGCTTACAATGATGCTAATTATATGTCACCTGGACCATCTGGGAAATAAAAATTCTAAGATGGCTACCAAATGCTTGTGACTGCTAACTAGATCTCACTTTCTTCCTGATCTTCCTTCTATACCTCTTCATGAGATTTCCTATTCCCTGTCACTCACAAGGTCCATCTGTTGCAGTGTGTGAGAACTAGTCAGAGAACTGACATTTGAGAAGGACATGATTCAGTTTGTGAGTAAAAAGTTGAGGTTACTTGCTTCCACTTAAATATATTACACTGTGCCAGCTTGAAGAGGCAGGTAAAAATGCATAAATAGTAGATCATAGTTTTGTGTTCTAAGCCGTAAGAATGGGCCTAAGAACAAGCTCTCACCTAAATATAGAGCCTGAAATCTAAATCTACGTGACCAAAATTTAAAAATTGTTGGGTCCTACCCATGTACTAAATTCAACCCCCAAGTCTGGCATAGCATGGTGAAGATAGCAAAAGGATGAAGCAGAACACATGTCTTTTTGTCTCGGAAAAGAGAAAAAGAAGGAAAGTTGAGGTCTTATTCAGCATGCAAGCATCCTGCAGTTTCAGACAGTGGAAAGATTCCTAAAGGCACAGATGGCGCTTCAATGCATAATCCCAGTGGTATAGGAATCGTATGTGTAATTTCAATTTAGGCTTACATGTAAAATGCTATCAATTTTCCTCTTGAAAAAGGACAAAAGGAAAAGGTGAGGGGGACCTTCACAAAGCAATATACCTAACACATGCTGATATGTGCCTATAATTACCTGATGTTCTGTATGTGGAATAATCCCTTGATAGTAAAGAACAATCCAGCATAAAATAAAAATTAAATAATCTAATTTATATAAAATTAGTATTAAAGAGTTACATTGGTCCATTTAACTTTATAACTGATTTTTTTTTGGTACTCCTAGAGTTAAGTCATTTTTTCATTTATGTGCTATTGAGATGAAAGTAAAAAATGTTGTCATTGCTTTGTCTCAAAGAATTGCATTTTATTTTCTCTGAGTACTTAACACATTGCTGTATGCTATTTCTGTAAAAATATCTGTTCTTGCATATCTAGGCAGCGTATGTTTAGCCAATGTGGTAGACAGTGACTGGAATTCTAGCTTTGTTCTGGTATCTAAATTTTTGCATTTGTAACATCACATTACATTGTAAAAATTCCTATGCTTGTCACCTTATGATAGTTGGGTTGAAAAAAAAAGTACTGTGGAAAGGAAATTCAGAGTATCACAGCTAAGAGCAGTTAACTCAGTAAAGCATTTGAGTCCATTCCTACTCTCCTTGACTATCTTCTTATCTTGTTGTTTAATATCTAGCATGATGAGACTGCACTTGCAAGATCTGTGGATGTATGGAATAGACACATCATAGTTAACGTATAAAAGTTAAAACAAGTTCAAAAAATTCTGTATTTAATTTTTGATTTGTGTCTCTGTTTAAAAATGAGTGTTTATAGATATAAACAATAAATTAAAATATTTCTAGACATTGTAGGATGTTGCATATTAATATTTCTTTCTAGTATTATACATTAGAGCATTACTTACTAGAAATCTATTTGGAATGACAGTTTTTCTTAAAATTAAAGTAAAATATGTGACCATGGGATGATAAAAAAACAATTTCTGCTTTTCTGTTCTCCAGTAATTTGAAATATGAATTGCTAGTAATAGCTTTTATAAGTATTAGTTTTACCACGCTACAATAAAAAAAAAATCTGGTAGACTGCAATACACAATAGGGAGAAATTCTTTGTGACTGTTACAGAATTCAAGAATCAGAATAACCAGGTCAGGTCTGATTAGACCATTGTAGCTACATGTTTCTGTAAAGAGTTTTAGTCTTCAGAGTTTTTGCTTTTGTGCCTTTAATGTTGACTGTTATGTTACTAAAGCTAAGTTTGTGAAGCCCAAGGTGATTGAATAATTATTTACCGCTTTTTCCTTCTTGTTCTTTTTTCTTATTTATTTACCTTATTTATTTTTGCGGCATCATCACTTACCCAAGTGGATCAAGTGTAATGTACAAAGTATAAATATATGTCTGTATTTCCATGCATGATTATCATGGTTGTTGATGCAAATTGGGGAATTATTTACCTTGTTTCCTGTATGCACACAAAGTCGAAGTTTGCTTGCAAGATGGTGTTGGTGGTATTTTTGTTCCCTTTCTCCTTCTCCACATGCCTCTTTCAGTGCTCTTTTTTATTATCCGAGAATTGTTTATTGATGAAATTGCTAAATTATGCATGATTCTATGGCCTTTTCCTTTCTTTGACCTCATGAATTACCTGCTGATGGGTTGTGAGATAGTGGTACCCTCATCATGTATCATGCATCATCAAACTTAAATCAGAATGAAGAGAGGTCTAACCTTTCCCTTGGATCCTTTCCTTGCCACATTCACTGTAGATTTTTTCTCTTGAACGTCAAACAGAAATGGACACTTTAAAGATTTTCATCTTCACATTTGAAAACTGAAACTAGATGCAATCAGTTACGACTCGCTATTGATAGAATTATCTGACTTAAATAATATGGGCTATTGTAATATCTCTTCTGCTAGTAATTTTTTTTATTCTGGAGGGTGTAGATCTATTTTTTTAATCCTTAAAAACTGAATACTTATTAATTCTATGGTTGGCTGTGTGGAGTTAAATTTTTAGAGCTTTTCATCTATTACACAATGCTTAGGAAATGGCTGGTGTCCCATTGTATTTCCAATTTCATCATTTAGAATCACTCTCATTCACAATTCAGGGACCATGTTAGATGCTTTTTAAAGAAAATGGGAAGTGGATGGAGAATTTATTTGCACAATAGAACATGAAAATTTCAAGCTGCATGATCAAAACTTACTGCATTCTTTGAAAAACAGATTATCAGATCCTTTTTTTTCTTCAAATCTTTCTTTTAAATTTCCTTTCTCACCTAAAGGAAATTTCATATTTTCTAAAGGTTTTTAAAAGTAGATTGAAATATTTTGTATAATAGCACTTCTTTCATGTCTTTTAAAAAAAATAGATTAATACTCATTAGTGATCCTAAGAATAGAGTTCCACTTTAAAGTTCCACTTTAGAGTTTTGCTAAATTGCAATTGTATTTTGCAGGCTGAACAGTAGCACTTGAACTTCCCTGTTGATAGAAACTGCAGTAGATTTGTGGCATTCTGAATTTTGTGCAACCCAGTATGGGACAAGCGTTTAACTCTGAGGTTACTTCCATTGCTAATAAAAGATCCAGTAAATTTTCATATTGGGGCTTATCAAAGTGATTTTGCTTCACAAATGCAGTTTAAGAGAAGCTCTTGTCCCTTGCTATGTGATGGTATTAGTTCTTTTTGGATTTAAAACCTGATAATCTAAGCTTTATTTTTTTCTGCATTTATTTCCTTTCATTCTCTTTCTCTAGAAAATCCTTTTGATAGACTGTAGTTAAAAAACCCAGAGTTACTAAGGAACCTCGGTTGCATGCAGGTTTTTCCTTCATCTTTAAAATACTGATAATACATGCATTACTTGGAAACAGGTAATACTGTTTGATTAATAGAGAATGCAGTAGATGACTTGTTATAAAAAAGGACCAAAGCAAATATTTCCATTTGAAACCCAATAAGGCAATAGGAAGTTATGAATAATCTTTCACAGAATAGTAAGTTACAAACATACATCTATCAACTGAATGTTAAAGCATTTTCTTTCAATATTTTATAATTTAGACTTTTTGGATGGGATACACCACCAAAATGATGATGAAACGGATCTTTTGTTACCTCCATTGAAAAGCAAAGGAAAGTGGTACTTTTTGAAACAAAGCAGGAAACTAGTTTAATTATAAATTTGGGGAAGTTGTTTTGGTTTTTGCAGTTGTTTTGCAGCAGACCTCTGCCTAAAGTTATTGATCAGGCCTTAGTTTTTATCAGACTAAATCTGATTTATTTACCACTCAAGTCAGAAAACATTTGCATAGCAGTAGTATATCTCTAGTTTAATAATCTAGTCTGAGAGCAAATGTGACAATCAGTGGCAGTGGGATGGGTAGCCCATGAGAGAAAAGTAAGGGGCTGACATCAAAATTGATATCAAAGTGACAAACTGAAAACTTTAATGACAGTAAATAAAACAAAACAAAAGCAAATGAAAAAGTCATGTTCTCAGCTGAACTCCAGTGTCAGCTGCTCTTCTGAGTTTCGGAGAGTTTGGGGTGGTTTTTAATTGAGAAGCAGGGCTTTGGGACAGGATAGTTGACAAAAAATACAAGTCCTTCCCAACTGGCCACACATACCAGAAATGCAGTCAATTCAGAAAATAAATTTGAGGTAGCAGATTGACAAGATTGCTGTACAAGACTGTAGTAACAATGAAAGTGAAAAACATGTGAAAGCGAACCAAACTCTGCACTGCTACAGTAGAAAGCAAGCCTTACGGGAAAGATGTTACTCTTTAGAAGAAGGAGTTTTAAAAGATAATTTGGGAAACCTCTTTGTCAAAATGTAATGAATGCAAGTGGTCTATCATTATCTCTGCTGGCTTTGTTCATTTAAGTGGGGGAAGACTGGCAACTGTATTGCATAGAGAAGGATCTTATGGCTGCTGCTATGGGATT